AAGGACTGAATACTACTATCGATTCTAGAAAATTAACTTATTTAAGAGCACGTACTACTGTAGTTATAATCATTTACTTGTTATGTCTCTCTTAGTATCCAATTTAATTAATATTTAAGAGCTTGAATATATACAAAAAAATATATTTATCTCGATTAAACTAGAATTACATATCAACATCTAAATAGAATATCATGGTAACTCCGTATTAAAATATATTTTTCCTCAATAAATGAGCTGTAAAATACAAAAAAAAAATGATCACATTAGTACTTCCAGAGATCAGCACGTTCAAACAAGCAAATATTTTAACTTAACATAAAAGTATAGATGAGACGTAAAATAGTATTTGAGTCCTTATAAAGTAGAAACTCTATTGTATTAACACTACTGTATATAGGTGTCAAATAAACATGTTAACTGGAAATGGGAAACAGAGCGTTAAAGTGTAAAGTTGCTGCCAACAAATTGGATTTGCATTTTGTATATGAAGATGAAACTGCTTTGTGGCATGTTTTTATCTTACCTTCATCTATTCACATAAAATATAATAAAGTTGTAACCGGGTCGAGTTCGTAGACGGAATATTTCTTATAAAAAATGCTATTTTAAGGATCTAAAGATGGCTTCCTATACAGGAAACCATTGACATTTTTATTTATGGGTTTATTCCGCTCACATCACTAGGTAACGGCTGTAGGCTTCAATTGAATGAACTCTTTATAAGCTTAATTTATTATTTGAAGTTTCAAGTCAATTGAAGTTTGGACTCTACGTAAGTACTCACATAAAATGAGAGTAATTTTAAATGGTTGCAGATCAACTGTTATTCCCTTTAAGTACCTGTGGTTCTCGTTACCTTTTATTGAATGAAATTGGCATATATTATATGGAGCTTATGTCAAATGACTATGTCATGGACAGATAAGTTATTGGGAAAAAATGGTCATTTCACGCCGCAGAAAGGAGTGACTTTGAAGTATACTTATATAACTAAAATTCTAAAAATAATACGAATGATATTTGAAAAAGAAAATCATTCGGACGAAATTTTTAAAATCTATTAAGTCATACTTAAAAATAAATAACAAATATCTAAATAGAAAATAAAATCAATGCATAATATTCTATGAATGCGTATGTAGGATTTTAAATATGTTTCCAACACTTTCATTCGAGTTTCATATGAGTTAAGAGTGTGTATATTAAACGTGTGGTATTGAATGACTGCTTCTAAAACCGCACAGAAGAGGTATGACAGGAACATAATAATTCAAAGCAATGTTAAAGTAGTGCAGGGTGAGTCATATTTCACGCTCGAACAACTTGACTGCGTAATAAGTTAGGAGTCTACATCTCTCTTAATATGATCTAGGTATTAGAGCTTTAATAACTTTGTGCATTTCTATCAGTTAAATGGAAATTGTAAAGCTCTCACTCTGTTATTTTTCAAACTAATGCATGATGGCATTAAACTTTTTTAGCTACCATAATAGATAGCTAGATATTATTTATTTCTATCTCTCTTTTTGTCTAATTTTACTAATACTTTCTTAGGCTTATGCGAATATTTGAAATTGAAATAATGTGCTATATTTTAAGGATTTTTCGCATTGACCATATTTCGGTACAAAGTATCCAAACGTCAGTCAAATTAAAAAAATACGCGAGAAAATCCGTAAATATATATATATATTTCAATAATTTGACTAAGTTTATTGAATAAAAAATAACTATCTTTTAGCGTAATGTATATATAAAAATATTGTTTGTATAAAAATCATCGTCAGATTTTAATAAAAAAAATACAAATCTCATACTATTTAATAGCTGTTGCAGTTTTCATTATTAGTTTACAATGCAGTAAAGACTAATAGTTAGCGATTTGTACATCATGCTGTTCATGCATTATATGTATAAACTTTGTTGCTCCTCCACTATTATTAAGGTATGAAACGTGATGGTTAATGAAAGTTAATTGTAGCATTAACTTTTAATCTGTGTTTTCTGGAATGTATAATGTGTATACTTGGAAATGCAATATGCACTTTATTTGTCATATACATACACACACACACACGCACACACACACACACACACATATATATATATATATATATATATATATGTCTCACGACAGTCTGACAGTCTTACAGGCCTCGTACGGGAAGGACTTAATCTAGAAATTGGCTGAGATAAAATGATATTCTGCAATCGCCAGCAGGATAGAGACTAGCGTTCCCTCGATGTGTGTTCATCTTGTCGTGATGGGTGAGCAACCCGCATGGTATATCACCCTCCGAAGTGTTCCATCTCCCAGTGTGTCTATTTACGTTTCGGCTTCACGCCCGACTGGATTGCCGGACGCTAATACATATGAACAAAGTTATATACATATTATACTAACCTTTTCGTTTTCTTTATTTTCATCTTCTGTACTCTTTTTATGTGTCTGCTATAAAGTATTTATCTATCTGTCTATAATATCATCATCATATATAAAATTTAAAGTAGAAATGTTAAAGTATAACAGTTATTTGAATGAAGATGCTCTCCGTATAAAGATATCCAGATTAACTTGTAAAGATTAGATAGGTCGAGAGCTCTTTTGATAATGTTAAGTGGTTCTTGACAAACCTGGAAGAGTAAAGGTCAAACTATAGTGGGCGTCACATTCATTGGTATGAGACCGACAGTATTCTGCGAATATTTTTTTATTTTTTATAGATAATATCTTTTACATACAATGAATAAAATCCTAAGTAGGTCAAACAAAGGTTTTTATTAAAATTTTAGATTAAATTGTGTCAAATTGTTTATAAATTTTATTTCTTCGAATTTGCATTTGAGAATAATTGGTAAAATTGTATTATAATTAGTATCTGTTTTTTTTTAATTTATCGAGTATTTATGGTAGGTTTAGCTTTTCATTTTAAGTGCTTACACCCTTTTGGTATAAGTGATGACGACCGCTGATTCAGTGTTGTTACACCCGTAGAGTAGGGGGCAGGTTGATTCCTCTACAAAATATTTATATGCCAGTGCAAAATATAAGAGAAAAGTAGACATATTAGCCAATTAGCGTTTGTGTCAAAGTTTGACCGAGAGGGCAATCCCCAGGTTATTGTGGACGGGATTTTTTCAAAGTCAGATTGGATTCTAATGGATGACTTGATTCTTGTAACCATTAAGTCATTACATGGCCTCCTGTATATCGGCATATAATTCTTAAATGATTTTACCATCGTTTAAAACAAGAGATTGAGAACTTCTGTAAAAGCTTTAATAAAATATATTAGTATATTTATATTTATAAAAGAACATAAACCAATTTATAATGATGCACTATGCTCTTGTGTCATGCTTATGACATATGTTCCAGCGCACAACACTTTTACATGTGAAGAAAAGGTTAAAGCGGCTAGGACTGCAGCGCTTTATTATTCGCGCCTTTTGCAAGCGGTTCATTATATTTCGCTACATATCCTGAGAGTTGCTTGAGGCGTACACCTTGGCTATTTACAAGTCCTTTTGGAGTGCTTACTCTTGGGAGAAATTGCTTTTCATATCAGGTTTAGGATTTCACTTAAAACGAAGCATATCTCACGATATTTGTTACATACGGTTTTGAAGTGTTAGGGTTGTGTGTAGCGTTTGTAGATTATGATTGAATGAAAGAAATTGTTGGATGCATTATGAGTTTTTTTTTGTTGTAATTGATATAATATTGTCATTTTTTAAATAATGTTATCGTTATTAAAGTCATGTTCAGTGTTAACATTTAGACAGGATAGTTTATTGTGAGTTTTTTACCAAATTAAAGAGATTTTTTATGGAAACAATTTTCATTTATTGTTCGTCCTTACATCTATTTTTACAGGTATGCTAAGGTAACTATTGTATTTACCCACTACGATTGACTATGGACACGTACGCGTCCCATTGAACCCGAGGCTCAGATTTCTTAATAAGATCATTAATTAGGCAGTGATCGTTTTTTTCTTATAAAATATGTTTTTTGATTCCCACTTATTTTCTATTCATACAAAATCTTTATTCGACCACCCTTTACGTAATACGTACAAAATAAATATTTTTGTGACTTATACTAACTTTACAAACGCATTTATAATGTGTTTAAAATTAGTAGAAGTGGTGTGCGAATTATATAATAATTACTGACCGATTTTTACAGAATTTTTTTAGATATAAAAGTAAAAAAAGATCAAGACATACTTGAGGTGAAAATTTGAAATCTAGCACACTACCTTATCACAACAAAAAAATGTAGACTAAGACTGACATAACATTTTATTAGACCCGAATAAATATATTTGTTGCAATACTCAATAAAATTTTAAAAATATATATTGACCCTGTAAATAAATCATCTGCCAACAACTTTCTGTAAACAAAGAAATAATATTTAAAAAAAAAGAGTCGTGAGGACTGAACATTTCGACAGAAGTGAAAACTTAAAACTATAAACAAATAGTTATTATTTTTGGATATTCAAATTAATTGTTTGATCTTAAATTAAAATTTGTGAATTAAAACTGTTTACATTTATCTGATTTTGACATTTATTGGCTTTGAGCGTTAACACGTCACGTGACCATGTCGATGACGACTTACATTCACTCTCCATCCAGACCTGCATAGAAGTTTTCACTTCAATAAAATAGAACCAATATTACTCATACGTCAATATTTACCGTGAATGATAAATATATAATAAATATTATGTATACTTGTATAAATGTATAAAATATATCCATTCTTAATTAGATAATATTTTTAATTTATATCAATTATGGAATAACTCTAAAACGGAAGCATAGATCTAACTAAATATGTACAATGCAGAACGACAGATTATAAATAAAAAAAAACATTATTAACCATTGTGACCTTAAAGATTCTAGTTATAAAATCCTATTAAAAAAAGTTATTGTTTATGGTCTAATAAAATGTAATGTCCGAGGATACTATTACTATTAATCAGATCGAACTTCGCAAATGAAGTAGGTTTCGAAGGAGCAGGGCGAGTCGTTCCATTTCAAGCCTTTGTCGTCTCTATTCCACAGTTCCAAACAGTTCTCTTCCTCTCCGTTTTCGTATCTAAAGTTGTTTGGTTCTCCTGCATTCCAGTTGACGAAGGTCAATGGTCTGCCGTTGGCCATCCAAAAGAAATTGCCTTCTTCAGCCAAATCTGTGCCAGATGTCCAGAAGTGCTCTCGGCCGTAACCTGCAATCATATACATATATATTTTTAAATTATTTAGCACTGTTTCGAAATTATATATAGAGTATAGAAGGAATGTCATGATAGTTGGTCCGTAATTTGTATCATCAGCAGCTGCAATTTTATTTTTCATTCATTATGACCGTATTTATCCCGATTCAGTTAAGGATTACAATGACTTTAGGAACTTCTACTTAGTACCATGTATTTAACACGAACTTACTTATTTTGGTATTGTTATTGAAGTTGCGTTATTCATTTTTTGCTTTTTAAATATAGCTTTTCTTGTTATATTGTTTATTAAAATGAATATAATTTTACTTGGTTAAAATAAAATTTTCAATTAATTTGACAAATATGCGTGAACAAAAATGTATCGACATACCATCAAAATAAGACCGAAAATATATATTTTTTCTTATTAGAACTCTATACCTTGACACACACACACATATATATATATATATGTAGATTTTCATAATATTCATATTTTTAATCCTACAATTAAAGAAAGCTAAATTAAAGTGTCATCTTATAAATTGCTCTATCTTATCAACAAAAACCAATTAAAATCGATTTCATTCATTTCAATATTATTTAAATATTAATATCAAATCATACCTGATTCTCTGACGTATTTTTCTAGTCTGTCGTTTTCTTCCTGTGATGAGATGGAAGCAAGATGCATACCGTGGAATCTGCAATATTGTTGCGCTTTGAACCAGTTCGCCTGAAATATAAAAACAAATATTATTAACTTTAATACAATAAATATAAAAAATTATAAATACATTTATTAATCTTATGTATTATATAACTTAACTATAGATCAGTTTATAATAAGTTTACAAACTAAAACTATTCTTTAGTTATCTTTTAAAAATGTATGAAATAGTACGTTTATTGTACAATAGCATAAAGATTTTATTATACCGGAAGAATATAAAAGCTAAGAATACCACATTTTGTTTGTGGTTTACTGGTTTATGGTAATGTATATGTAGGTATACGACTATATATACATGTAGATACATATATAACATTTTTGTTTTATCGAGAAATTCCAGCAGACTCGAAATGGAAACTTCGTGATGTTATCTAAGCTTTGTCCTAACTATAATAGAATGCAGAGTGCACTTGCCACAGTGTTTGCGAACGAATTTGTGTACTGTTATATATTTCCTATAGATGAACTGTCCCAACAAAATCGGCCACCTTAACCGGAACTCGGTCAGGAGGTCTTTTGCTCGGCAAAGAGAGAAAGAATCAAAACATGTCGCCCAATTTTTCTTGGAAACTGTGATTAAATAAATTTAATCACATTATAATGTAACATTAATATTATTGTTTTTCTTACATAAGAGGGCACCGAACTTTTTATTTTAGTAGAACGACAGCGGGCAGGGGAGGGGGAGGGACGGGGGAGGGGGCTAGGATGGACGGAACGCGTGCGAATTTAGGTATTGCCTTCGTATTATTAAAAACAAATACACATTTTAAAAATGTAAAGTGTATACGTTATAGAAAATGTATAGTTTTGTTATAATTACAAAACTGATAAAGTTCCTTGAATTATTAACGCAGCACTAAGGGTTTATTTTTGTTCTTAGAGATGATTTTGGATTTTTTTCTATCGAAGAAACTACAAGTAATCGTGTTTCTAAAGTGTACGATTTATAGAATAAATCCTTAAATATCCTACATATTAATTGCATAATTAAAGTTTTAGTAATAACAATACAGCAAGGAATCAAACGAACGCAATTATTTCGTAATTGACTCGGTGCCCCTTTAAGAAACGTAAAATATAATACGTATAAATCATTAGGTAATTTCATATGATTACAGATTACATAATCTTCTAATGAGACATAAATATGTTGGGACAAATAAGTTCCATGTTAAGCTACGACGCTGTGTTAGGGTTACCAGATAGTTGATACACTACATATATATATATAATTTTAAATACATACATATTATAAATATAAACACTCATGACTGGAGTATAAACATTCGTGCTCATCACATAAATGAATGCCCCCAGCGGGACTCGAACCCGCGACCGCTGGCACAGTAAGCAGGGTTACTACAAACTGAGCCAAACGTGTCGTCGTCGAGACATAATAAAATACTTTTATTGTTACCATGACAAACATTTTAACAAGTACTTCTTCATACTATAGTGAAAGTGAGTTTCGTCTTTCCTCCCTAATGAGCGCAGCTAATGTAGCGCAATGATTTAATAATTACAGCACGCCGTAACATGCTTTATTACTTAGTGGTTAATGGCAAAATTACCGTGAACCGTACCATGTTTCACGTGTAACACGTTTCCTCTTGGACATGTTACAAGATGATTATAGAATTTCGTCAATATGAAGTTATGCGCATATTGCAGATTATTATCTTAAGTATCACAGGAATATATTTATTTATTCTTTGAATAAATTTAGTAAACATGTTATTATAATCTATACATATAATAAAATTGTAACTGAGTCGAATATGTACATTAAATATTTTATGGAAAATCTTATTGAAATAGACATTATCATCGATACAGAGACCGAATCTATAGTTTTTCGAATTTTTGTCTGTCTGTCTGTGGCCGCATCACAGAAAAACAACAGGAGGGATTTTGATGAAATTTGGTATGGTGATAGCTGGTTATCCGGGTCAACATATAGGATACTCTTTACTGCGGGAAAATATGACTTATAAGTACAAATACTAAACGTATATAAATGTATGTAGATTGTAGGTATAACCACGGTAAATGCATTACATTACCGTGGTATAACTATAAAGTCATCGGTCCACTATTATAAATATAAAAGTTTGTATGTTTGTGTGTGTGCATGCAAAAAGATTGCAAATTTAATCTGGAGTAAGTTATGGCTTTTCTATATATTATAGTAAAATATTAGCAAAAACAAATTTTCCGCTGTAATTCACTTTAGTATTACAGGAAAAACAATTATTAAAATACCTACATACATAAATGAAAAATAAACAAAGTGTGGGTGGATGCGAATTATTTTGATAAAATTAAGGTATAATGGTTTATTTTTAGAAATAATATTATGGAAATTTTAGCAGCCATATTATGCTGTTTGTTTGTTTAGGCGTGGGTTCCTAGATTTTATGTCTTCATAATAAAGTAAAAATTTATTTATATATTATGTAATTCATTGTATGTATATCAATACTGAGTCATATTTAGTAGTCGTTGATACTTATAACCTAAAAGTATTGAGTATCAATAAAATGTAAGCTTAAACTAACATTTGAGCTAAGAAAAGCACGTAATATAGATATCGTTTAATTTCTTTTTTTTATGGTACCCAGTGATAAACGAGCAGACAGCCCACCTGATGGCAAGCGACACCTGTCGCTTATAACACCTACGGTTGATGCACTTAGGTTTTTGTGTAATAAAACTGCAAAATTGTCGGTAGGTACATTATTACTTTGAGGATATGCTTCTTGCCTGTAATTGCGCTGGCTACCTTATCCTTCAAACCAGAACACAACAATGCAATCATTGTTGATTGGCGGTAGAAATAGATATGGGGGTGGTAGCCATCCAGTCGGACTCCTCAGGCTTACAGAGTCCTACCACCGGTCTGGCTGCCGCAGCCAGGCTGCCTAGTGCGCGGGCTCTCTAAATATTAAGATAATCGATCTTTTAGAGCTTAGAATATTTTTCTAAAAATGTAGGTACCTACTACCTACATAACATACTATATAACTTCTATCCATAAACTCATCTGGAGAAAATGAGGTCAAACTTATACTTCATTAAATAGGATATAGTGTGATATATCACGTTCTAATGTGAAAGATATTCATAATATTTATTGTTAATTAACAGATGAGCTATGCAATTTTAGCGTGGTGTAAAAATGAAAGTATTTGTACACGACATCCGCATTCGTCCATCAAAAACTGGTTTATTTGAAAGATTATAGCAGCAATAGAATATTTACTTCTTTATAATTTGTTCTCTATGTACATACAGTAGTATTACTGTGATCAACTATTATAAGCCATGAATTTTATTATTAGTACAGTTAGTTATTTTAGGATAGGAGGATCTCTTTGCTCGATTTCACGGTCATAATTATGACCTAAACAATTTAATAAATATATAACAAAGCGAAACGAAATGGCAATGATTTTTTTTATTGCAATAATTATTTGTTTTTGTTAAATAATCTTGATATAAACGTATATCAAAACCTTAATATTTCGAACCTAAATATTTACATAAATCCCTGTTTCTTTGATTTTTATCGATACGAAAATATTATTATATTTTATTTTTAGAAACTTGTCTTTGAACCCATACTTAGTTTATTTAAAAATAGTTTTTTTGTGTTTAGAAACTATTTGAGACCTTCTGAACTTGTCGTATACACGATTTAATTATTTATCGGCTACATCAAAATAATGAACTTTAATCCAAACTTTCCCCATTTTAAAACATATAAAAGGAGACCATCTCTATACGAAATTGTAGCCTCGTGTCATATAATGTTTATTATTGTTTTTATTTGAATCTTACTTACACGTACTTATATTTCATTTATTAGTTTGTTCGTCTTCGCTATTTATTACTTCATCCGTTGGTCGATGTGATATTTCGCACCGAGACATGTTTATGAGTGAGTTTAGAAAGTGACATTGGCTCAATTTTTCAACAACAATAAATTAAAAATTTAAAAACCCCCTACGCAAAAAATACTTATAGTTTAAGGAACCACCCTTAAAAAGTAAAAAACTTAATCGAGTAAACATACGCCAAAATGCCTTACATCATTAAGGAAACGAGCTGATACTTACACTGCTGAACCCATATTAACCAAACATAGCTAAGATCCACCGCAAGCAAATGCAAAGCAAAGCTTTCAAATGAAAAAAAAAACCGCGTCGAAATCGGTTCATCCGTTTGAGAGGTACGATGCCATAGACAGACACACACACACAGACAGACAGACATCGACGTCAAACTTATAACACCCCTCTTTTTGCGTCGGGGGTTAAAAACTGATTCTGGGAATATATAGTATATATTTCAAAATGTTACCGAAAGTTTCACCGAGAACACTGAATAAAGTGGGCGGGCGGGTTACTGATTCAAAACGATTGGAACGGAAGTTAAAACTTCATGCACGTGTTACACGTGTCACACTCAGGCATACAAGATAATCAGAGGGAATAAATATTCATTTTTAATATGTGATGATTATAGTATTTAGCTATATATTATACTTTATACGTTAAATCGTAGTATCGTACAAGAAAAAATAAAAGTAGTTTTACAAGTCCTAAAACAGAAGTAGTGCTAAAGTAAATACTAAGAAAGTTCTTAGATTAATAAATTAGAAAATAAAACTGTCTTTTCGCATTTCGGATCAAAAGTCAATATAAATCCGCGAAAAAATGCGAAAAAAAGAGTTTTATTATATATAATAGTCCAAAAGCGTTATGTATTCTCATAGCGGTCAAATTGTCTCTTCGTGAGGAAACAGTACTTAGATTTAGGCAATTCATTAGTTAAAATATTTCGCAAAAGTAGCAATCTTTACAAGAATAAAGCTAATTATACTGTAATTTACATTTATTTCTAAACCGCCTGCGATTCGTGGAGCGATAGTTGCAGCTACTAAGAGATGACGTTTGATTCATAGAACAAAAAAGGTTCGTTTACAAAATTCATATAGCGCGATTCAAATATTTTTGAAAACTACTTATTTAAATCGTCTATCATTAATATTGAGGATAAAATATTTTAATTTTATGCTTTAGTTACATCATATGAAAATTAATAATGTTTAAGGTATATGCAACATTTTCTGTAATACGCTAATATTATTATATAACTATTTAAATTAAACAACTAGCGGCACACCCTCGCTTCGTTCGGGTTCGCCTCTAGCAGGACAAATACCAACCTATCCCAAGGGAATCGTACATTTCTCCGGGATAAAATATATCTCTGTGCCAAATTTCATCCAGATCCATTTAGCCGTTCTGGCGTGAAAGAGTAACAAACATCCATACATACTCACAAACTTTCACATTTATAATATTAAAAAAATAATAAAACGTAAACAAAGTATTCTATGAAATTATTTATATCGTAACTTTTCCAGCATTCGTGAAAGTAATTTTCGCTGCACCTCAAGATTATACTACAATCATCGTGGCTATAATAAATTTAATTTATATAAAATATTTAGTCCTTTGTGTTGTAATAATTTATCCATAGTTCTTTCAAGTAACGTAAAATGGTAAAATGTATTTATCATACATATAATAAAATTCTAACTGAGTCGAATTTGTACATTAATTGTCATTATTATCGATACATAGGCGTATTATCAATAGTTTTTAGAAATTTTGTCTGTCTATCTGAAAACGCATCACGAGAAAATCACTAAACGGATATTGATGAAATTTGGTGATAGTTGGTTAACCTGGCCAACATTTAGAATACTTTTTACTGCGATAAAATATCTCATCTCTGCAAAATGTATGCTAACCTTAAAACGTAGGGATAAACCCGAGCGGAGCGAGGGAGAGTCTATACATATAATAAAATTGTAACTAAGCTGAATCTGTACATTAAATATTTTTCGAAAAATCTTATTGAAATAAACATTTTTATCGATACAGAGGCCGAATCTATAGTTTTTAGAATTTTTGTCTGTCTGTCTGTCACCGCATCACAGAAAAACTGCAGGAGAGATTTTGATGAAATTTGGTATGGTGACAGCTGGTTATCCGGGTCAACATATAGGATACTTTTTATTGCGGGAAAATATATCATTTTTGAGAAAAAATAAAAAACTGCAATGCAAGAGTATACTATACTAGTATATGTAAAACCTAAGCATTTGGTTTTTGGTCATCTGAATGCGGGCGGAGCCGCGGGCAATGCTAGTTATTAATATTATTAATAAACCGCTTTTGTAAATAAACAATAAAAAAAACTCACAGCGAACTATTGACTTTAAACTTAATAAGCCACTTAGACAAGAAACTTTAGTTCCTTCAACATAAATTAACATAATTATTATTCTAAGAATCAATATTAACGATTTACTATTATATTGATATAATGTGCGTTATATTTTAATCTATTCTAATAATAAACTCTACTTAAAGTTAGGCATTTCAACTGTAAAATTAGAAATATTTTGTATTTAACTGAAAAGTCGTTCCTGAATGCGCAGGTCATTTTACAGTTTCCGAGACATTTGCAATGCCATATTACTTCCGGTTCATTGGGCCGAGCTAATTTCGTAGAAGAGAAAAGCATGAAAATTCATGATTTGACGGGACTTTTGCTGTACGAAGTTTTCGTTTTACCTTGCACCTTATATTAGAATATACTTGTACATATATAATTTGTAATTCGCTATTGCTAACATATTTCAATAACATTATATTTAACAAATAGTTTTGACCCGCGGCTGTTCTCGCGTTGATAAAAAGTAGCCTATTTGTTAATCCAATCGTATCTTCACTCTGAATCCATTGAGTCATTATAGCGTGAAGTAAAAACAAACACACAGGCAAACTCACCTACTATTGCATATATAATTAGTGAGATATTATATTAATAATAATACCTAAATGTCATTCGATTTCGGCCATCTCATTGAGTCAAGCCAACTGCGCAGGTGACATTATCGTGCAGCGCGTGTGCATGCAGACACAAGTGCACTCTCTATTCCTGTTACTCTCTTACGTGACGGCTTTACGTGCTCTCTGAAGCACGGGGTGAAACGCCACCAACTTCCCAACTCCGAGCTGTTAATGAGGTTTACTAAACACAAAGACTTAAAAACGAAACTTGGCCCGACCCGGGACTCGAACAGAGGACCTCTGAAAGTGTATCCTAGCTACTACACCACCGAGATATTATATTAAACATAATTTGTATAATATCACATATTATATTACAATGTTTAATTAATTAATTGTGCATCGTTTTAAAATAACATGTTATTTACTGTAAAGCTAAGCTATTATGAGCTTTCATGTACCTTTTATAGAGCTTACAGTGTAGCAGTTATCTATACATATAATAAAATTGTAACTAAGCCAAATCTGTACATTAAATATTTTTTGGAAAATCTTATTGAAATAAACATTATTATCGATACAGAGGCCGAAGCCATAGTTATTAGAATTTTTGTCTGTCTGTCTGACCGTCCGTCCGTCCGTCCGTCCATCCGTCCGTCTGTCTGTCTATTACCGCATCACAGAAAAACCACTGGAGGCATTTTGATGAAATTTGGTATGGTGATAGCTGGTTATCCGGGTCAACATAGGTATAGGACACTTTTTACCGCCAGAAAATATTTCATTTCTGAGAAAAAATACAAAAACTGCAATGTAAGAGTATATACTAATATGTAAAACCTAAGAATTTGGTTTTCGGTCATCTGAACGCGGGCGGAGCCGCGGGCAATGCTAGTAGAGTTATAAATTATCATCAAAAGAATGGCAATAGCATATACATATGTTGGTATAGATATTCGTAGTACTTGACAGGCGTGCCTAGTGGAACTGTTTCGTGAGGAAAGAGAAAGCTGAATCGATCAAACCACGCGAGATGCGTACGAGTTGCGTAATCGTGACGTCAGATAACGTATTAACACTTTTATCCTTAAACTAGCTGTTACCCGTGGCTTCGCTCGCGTGGCTTATGTATAATTACTCCGCTTTTAAGGTCTACAGTATGAAGTCAGATTATATATCTCAATAAATAAGCTATAAAATAATAATTTGTATTTTTCAAATTGGACCTGTTTTTCAGAGTTTCGTTTAAGCTTTGGTTGTCTCTCATTTGTAAAAACGGTAAAATAAGTATAGAATAATTCTAAAAGTTTATACTCGTATAACAAGATTGATTTAAATATAACCATAATGTAGTGTAGTATACGACTACTAACATATGTATAATCTATATAATAAGGTATAATCTATAAAACCCCAAGAGTTATAATCAAGTACGTACATGATGATGTCTCCTGACCGATTCCGGACACGGCGGCCAACCTCATGGAGACTAGCCAACTGCGCAGGAGATATTATATTGCACAAGTGTACGCGCAGACACAAGTGCACTCTCCATTCCTGTCACTCTTATACTCCGGTGGGACGACTGCTCGACACTACCAGTGAGAGTTAAGGCACAGGACCGACAGCTTTACGTGCTCTCCGAGGCACGGGGGTGAAACACCGCCAACTTACCAACTCCGGGCTGTTACTGAGGTGTACTATACAGAAAGACTCAATAACTAAACTTGACCCGACCCGGGACTAGAACCCAGGACCTCCAGGTGTGCAGCCGTACATGCTAGCCACTACACCACCGAGGCAGTAAGTACGTACATAATATATGTATATTGTTATTATTTAAAAAAAACATTATATTTTAAATAAGCTTACCTAAAAACATCTACAGATATAAGTCATATAATAATATAACGAAATATATTTGATGATAATCTCTCTAACGCGTTATTATGTCTATGACCGACTTTTCACTATGTATAAAAAACTAGGACGGGCTTTCTCACTTATACTCGTAATGTGGGAACTTTCGGACAAAAAAGGAGTTTGATCGTCTTTTGATTTGGCTACTGAGGCTACCACATAATAAGTGTAATTGAACTTTTTTACATAATAAGTGTAATAAAATTATGAAATATTTACAAGCAAATTGCAATCTGTTATAAAATACTTTTATTTTAGAACAATGGCGGATATTCAAGTATCTGTTTGAAATCGCCTGTTGTGCCGGAGGTCACGAATTCGAATCACACAAGGCCTTAGCCATAATTAATATAAGCTGTCTACAGCTTATATTAATTATGGTTTTGATATAATATGGTATAAGAGTAAAACATGGCATGCGCTGCACGACTACAGAACAAACTCTGACCAATCCCGTTTTGCCCATGCTTTAAGTACGGTACAGTTGAGTCAATGGTAAAGTGGATCCCGTGGCTTATGTTTCCTTTTTTTTAATTTAGGTAGTAATAAGATAAACTTAAATTTACTTAAATTTTTACCGGTGGTAGCACTCTGTCAAGCCTGAGGAGTCCGACTGGATGGATACCACCCCCTTATCTATTTCTCCCGCCAAGCAACAATGATTAAATTGTTGTGTTCCGGTTTGAAGGATAACGTAGCCAGTGCAATTACAGGCAAGAGGCATATCATCTTAGTCCTCAAAGTGACAACGCACCTGTGGTTCTGCATTTTTGTATCATAAAAGCTAAGTGCATGAACCGTAGGTGTTATGAGCGACAGGTACAGCTTCCCTTCAGGTGGGCTGTCTGCTCGTGTGTCACTGAATACCATAAAAAAAGATAGACCCGTAAAGCTATATTCTTGAACAGATTATTTTTGGTGCCTTTTTCGATTAATCCATTGTAGTAACTTAAAAATGTATGGCTGTCCCAAGTGTAGGATATACTACAGCACATTACATCACATTGTATAGACTCAGTAAAAATCTATAATAGGAATAAGAAAAATAATTATAGGAACAAAGTTAGGTAATTCTACGTTCGTGTAACCTATTTTTCTAAATTATAAATGAGTAAATCATAAGTTAAAGAAGTAAATGGTAGTTTATCAACAGTGAATTTTGTTATAAAGAATAATGTTTAACATTTACCTTAAAGAATATTCCGAGATAATATCTCTTCTCTCCAGATTTCAACAGAGGCATCGTCCACCGCGTCACGCCTAGCTCGTCGTCGTTGCAGCTCGAGCATTCTGTAGTAAAAAAATAATATTATTTATTAAAATTATAAAATTTATAAAAAATAATAATAATAATAACTAATTGCTAATTACAATGTAATTGTAAATGAAAAAAGCGTGAATTAATATTATATGTTGAAATCAGTATGAATAATAAGTATTATGTAAATAATAACAAATGTATATATGTTATTTATTGTTCTTAAATGACCTATGACAAACTAGTTTTAACACATATACTTAAAAAAAAACTTATTTAAACACTTCAATTAATTTTACATTTTCGGTTTACATACATCTATAACTTTCATAGTTATAGGTAGATGTATACTTCTTTTGTTTACTGTCAAGGCAAAATACATATACCGACTTTTAAAGTCGGTCATAATTGGTCACTAAGCGCCGAGGTAGGGACAGGTTGATCTTTCTGCCACATCCGTTCACATATAGAGCGAAGGTCGTGATTACACAGTCTCTATCATCGGATATTCCAGTAAAGCTCATCTATATGTTTTTTAAAATGTTTTTACTAATAATTTTTAATGTTTTAAAATATCCTTAAGAGTTCAAAATTCTCGTTGACGTTAAGTAAGAAATGATGAAATTTTTTTTAACGTGTAGTATAGATTTCTCAGAGATGAGATATTTTCCCGCAGTTAAAAGTGTGTATATGTTGACATGGATAACCGCTATCATCATACCAAATTTCATCAAAATCTGTCCAGTGAATTTCTCGTGATGCGTTCCCAGACAGACAGACAATAACTCTAAAAACTATAGGTACATTCGGCCTCTATATCAATGATAATGACTATTTGAATTAGATTTTCCAAAAAATATTTAATGTGCAGATTCGACTCAGAATTTTATTATACATATAGATAGATAGACGTCTAGCTTTGACGTTAACTGAACGATTAGAACTGGGTGGAATGCCTCTATTTAGTAATAGCTTGAAAATGAGGTTCAGCATAAAATTATGAGGCAAATAATATATGAAATTTTACATTTACTGCTTACACACATTTATAACTTTCGTAGTTACGTATAGGTATTTCTTTTGTTTTCTGTCAAGGCACAATACGTATACCGACTCTTAAATTATATTTACACTTTCGTCAAAAAGCTTAATAGCTGTATTCTCATATATGTGATGTAACTTTTTATTGAAAACGACAATGAGGAAAATAAGCACCTTACTAAACTTGGGTGGATGTGACCAATCAATGATTACCTGAATATTGCGAAACAGACTTAGTACTAAAGTTTATGAAGTGATGCACATAATAAAAAAAATGTTAAGAAATTTTGAGCCATGAATAAATATGTAATTTTTGAGTGATGAATGAACTTTACAAACGTCTGTACAATTATACGCGTGGCAATAATATGAGCTATCAAACATCAACAGAAATAAATTTCTGCTATTTTGACATTTAATAGTTGATAAAACAAGTATAAATTCTCAATTTATATAAACATTAATTGTCTTACAACTTTACAGTCGTATTTGTTTATATAAATAATAAATATAATATTTACATTTTACTAAAGATTCATAATATTTCATATAAAAGTAGGTATTTTTTCGAATTTTCTTACGATTTTATTTTACTTTTTTTCTACTATGAATTCTTTATAGTCAACATGGTCACGAGAGAGACAAAGGATTTTTAAAGTCTCAGAAATCATCGACACCTTTTGTAATATCTATGACTTATAATATAACGTCAAGGCTACCGGCTTCTAATTATAATTTACAATATATCCTCAGAAACAAAAAAATAACTAAATAAACTAAAGTGAATAAATCAGAAGAAAAAGTTGAATTTAAAATGCCAAATATTCGTGTTAATCTAAAGAAATATTAAGAAAGAAAAAACTTATATGAAAAGTTCCCATCTATATCTGATGTAACCTACATTCAAAATATGCATTTTATATTTTAAAATTCTACATTTTATTGTCATTGTTTTAATAAAAATAATCTTCATATTATATTATATTCTAGTGAAATAAATATATTTAAAATAAAAATGAAAGAGTAAACTCAGTATCAATTGTTATGAAAATACGGAAAATATAAAAGAGATGACCGCCGCAAGCCGCTTCACCCGCCCTGACCTTTTTCAACGGTCCAGTTTTATTCAAAGGTCAATAAAATAAAAATGCATCCTTTACTTATAGATTTCTAAACTGTAAAAATTTTGTATTGTTACAAAAAAATAAAAGGTTCCATTTGAAAAATCGTTTTAGAAATGGTCTCTGTAGCCTTAATGTTATCTATACAGATAAATAAAATTGAAGTGTCGGTTTATCTATTTGTTCCAGCTAATCTTCGAAACATCTGAACTCATTTTAACGGGACTTTCACTAGCAGATAGCTAATATTATAAGGTGTAACTTAGGCTTTCATTTTAGAAAAGGGTAAGGAGGTTTCTCCCAAAAAAATTAACCTAGGTACCTAGGGCCGCAACCGAAAAAAAACGCACCCAAGCGTATCATAATGTGTTTTCCCGTGGGTATTATATAATATCCCGCGGTAAAAAGTAGTCTATGTCACTCTCCAGCCCTCCAACTATCTCCACAACAAAAAATAACGCCAATCTGTCAGTCCGTTTCGACGAAAGAAAGAAGAAAAGAAAGACAAACAAATAAGCAAACACACTTTCACATTTATAATATTAGTATGGATGTATGTTATTATAAATATAAAAGGGACCTAGAGGCGAACTAGAGCGAAGCGAGGGTATGTAGCTAGTTTAGTTATATAGAAACCTTGTAAATTAAATGATTAAGTAAAATAATTGTTTTTAAATATCTTACTATTCCAAATTGTATTGATACTTTAATTAAAAAACATTCCGACGAATTGAGAACCTCCTCCTTTTTGGAAGTATATCAGTTACGGAACGCTAGGTTACATTTAAACCACGATATGATATTGACCTAATACGCGAGTGTATACAGTATACTTACAATATCATCTTTATTCTCGTGTAACTAGACACTCTGTAGGTACGAGTATATCTATACATATTATAAAATAACTCCCCCTCCGCGTCTGTCTGTCTGTGTGAACGCGATAAACTCAAAAATACCCAACGGATTTTTATAAGGTTTTTACCAATGAATCGATTCATGAGGAAGGTTTAGGTGTATCATTAAGGTTTTGTGTAAATTGGCTGAAATATAACGATTATTATAGAAGATGTCGGAAAAAATTATGCCGACTGGGAGTTTTATTGATGTGCGCCGCGTTAACTAATAAAGTTATATGAAAACAATGTATTACAGCAACTTCGTCAAAATTGATTTTGAGATAATTGAAATTTGTCTTACTAAATCAAAATTACTACTAGTTTTGACGTAGTTATGACGAAATGGTTATGGTATCTCCGGATTCATAAGACTTAGAGCTTTATGAGTAAGAGACTAAGTAAGTAAGCAAGTAGCATTTTTTTTGCTGATTCTGAATCTGCATATAAGACATTTTTGACCAAATTGTTAGTTACGTCCTTCTTTATTATGACGGCAGCATAGATCTTTCATTTACATTGTTTTTCTCGCCTTTTATGCAAAAGACTACACCATAACGATTATATTCTTTAAAATTTAAATAAATATATTCTAGAAAATTCTGCCACAGTAAACTTTTACTGAGTTAACAGCGTATGTATTTACGTATACCCTGATCAATTTCACTTATACTTAAATGGACTTTCAATAATTTTTGCATTAACCTTGATAAGTGATAAGATTTATAAAAATATTTTAGCGTTGATTAATTCTTATAATATTCGCAACCAGCCAATTGGTGACTTAAGAATTACAATCATTTAAGAAGGTTAAGGTGCTATAATACCTATATCTGTATCTCAATCAAAATATGCCATTCCTTTCTTTGGTTAACACGTTATCGTTACAAAATAAATTAATAATTTTAATATAGCTTTAAAATAATTATGATAATGAACTAATTAAGCAATTTTTAATATTAATTTACAGCTCCAAATTCCAATAGATACGTAAAAGTTAAGGACTTGTAAGACAAACTCGATGTCCGCCAACTTGTATTTGGCCAGCGCGGTGGACTATATCCTACTCTCCTTTAAATAATATCCGTGAAATATTATCATTAATTTTGACCAATGTCTTCATTCACATCATAAATCCCTTGATTCTATCTATAATCTATATACTTTTCAAATTTCATCTAAGTTAAAGATAAACAGACAGTCGGAGTTACAAATCTATAATTTGTAATATTAGTATAGATTGTTATTTTAAACTATAAAGATTTTTCCTTTAACAACGATTTTTTACTCACGCTCAATGAAAAAATAAAAAAAGATACAAATTATATGTTTTATATATATTTTATATACATTCTGACTATCCCGTTTAGGCCATATCGTGAACAATGAGGCAATATTTTTGAGGTAATTAAACAAATTATAACTGATAAAACAGTTGTAATCGTAACAGTCTACTGAAGTTCAAGTTGGTCACGAACACATTAATCTTATGTAACTCCGTTTTGTATAGCCTTAAGTGTCTTTCAATGAAACTTTTAACTGTAACGATACTTAGCTGATGTTATTGACTTGGTTCTGCACTTGACTTCACATTTCAATATGGCCTTAACTTTAAATAGGATGGGATAGAAGCGAGCGAGATTATGTATTTTCTTTATTATTTTTTAGATCTTTTCAATCAATAGATATAAAACTTACGTAATCTATACATATAATAAAATTATAACTATGTCGAATCTGTACATTTAATATTTTTTGGAAAATCTTATTGAAGTAGTTATTATTAATATCAATACAGAGGCGGATACTATAGTTTTTAGATTTTTTTTCTGTCTGTTGTCTGTCTGGGAACGTGTCACGAGAAAACCACTGGACAGATTTTGATGAAATTTGGTATGATGGTAGCAGGTCATCTGGGTCAACAATCAACATATAGGATACTTTTAGCTGCGGGAAAATATCTCATCCCTAAGAAATCTACACTAAGCGTTGAAACGTAACTAGAGACGCACTCGAGCGGAGCGAGGGCGAGCGAGTATATTATACTTTTCATTACTTTTAATATGTTCTGTATTTAAATATGTTCAAAATCATAGAAATAGACATTTTTGAGTATCGCGAAGATACGATAAAAATGAAATCGAAAATTTTGTTTGTTAAAATCGGAAACGTTGTTTTAGCATCTATTTCATTCACCCCAAACCAGAGGGTTACTTAGACTGGTTTAAACACAATTTCGTATAACCTTATTCTATCATGTAGACGATTTAGTATGTTTATTATTTTGTTTAAAACAATACAACGGCAATATGTAGTATTCACGATTTTTTATAACTATGTGATTATTATAAATATATTAAATTAATCATATACTTAATATATTATTATACTTTTAAATAGTATAATTATTATCTGTTGTATTTAATGTTAGTTTTTTTTAATAAATTTAAATTTGTAAATTATAAAGATAAAGACAATTATTTAACAAATATTCAAGAATTAATACATAATTTAGATCGTCGAAAGAAGATAACGTTTTGATTTGCGATGCTATTAATATTTTACAGAAGCTGCCTGTTAATAAAAACATGACGACAACAACGAAAACGACGAATTTATATTATGTCAATTTAAAATATCAATTCAAGATAGACAATAAAATTTTATTTTTTCCTATTCTTATTTCTTCCATAATTATTCTAAATTCGCTGTGTTTTTTAACTTTTTCAATAAAACATTAAGTTTATCACACGATACCTGTACCAAAGTTTTAAACTAAAAGAAGTTTATATACTCGTAATTTCATAAATAGAATGACAATTAGGTAAGCGTAGCATAGGCTACTTTTCTTCAGCCTAAAATGGCCTATATTTTTAGTCTGTTATAAAAAGTTACCTTTAACATTAAATTTACCAGATTTTCTTCCAAATGTTTATTTTAGTTTGTTGTAAAATATTATATTAAAAATTAAATTTTACCTGTTTTTCCTTCAAAGCCGTTGATTGGAGATTGATAGTTCACAGTTTTGGTGTCAGCTATGCAGCCCATCACTAGCAGGAGTATAGGAAGGTATTGACGGTGGAGCATTTTTATTTCTTATGTTTTATCACTATTACACTACACGGTACACTATTGGTATCTACGAGTATCAATTTACTGATTTCGTTTAAATATTTCAGGTACTATATGGATTCACTAATGAGGTGACTCAATGCCTTAATTCTAAGTTGCCAGATTTACAAGTTATTAGTATTAATTAGTACTTAATTGTATAATTAGATAATGCATTAGATATTAAAAGTATTGTTTTTATTATTAAATTTTTTACTTCATTTATTTCAGAATATGTGAAAAGAAAAATTCAATTCATATTATTTATATGGCTGTTAAATTTCAAAATACAGTAGCGTATAAGTTATTTGTATACATAAGTTGAAACGAATTAATAAGTGTTTATTGCTTAAACAAGCTATCTACCGTAAATTTAATACGTCTTAAATTGTTCTAGCTCTACCATTATTATAATTTCGTACTCAGTTGCGTATGATTTACAACATGATGAGTACAAAATTATCTTCTGCAATACAAGCATGCAATATATAGATTAAGAAAGAATAAACACTCAAAATAAAGTAATTACTTTATGACCAAAAATTTAAAGTTATATTGAAAATAATTTTCAAATGAAATTCTCTAAGGTACGGACTTGGGTTTGAGCGCTATTGGCTTTCCAAGTGAGCGCTTTACCAATGCCCTACCACAGTGTATAATAAGATTTACTTGAAATTATGTAAATTGCATTTAATAATTATTATTAATATTATAAGTACGAACGTTTCTTGATATTTGTTTGTTAGTGTGTGTTTTTTTAAGTAACAAACAGATAGACTTAACTTTATTGTTTATGGGTAGTGGGTTCAGAGTTGGTAGCTTATTTGTAACAAATATAACTTACTATTATGAATTAGGGTTAGTAGAACATTATAGTATATTGTTGCGTAGTTCGCCATTAAAAAATAAAAATTAAAGGGGATATAACAATTTCTAAAAGGAAATCATTCAATATTAAAACGTTTTCGAAATATTTTGTAGTAGATAATTTTTTGTTTTATATAGTTTTATATAAGACATCAGTACACAAGGTGAGTATGATTTAAGTAAATTAAGTAAAGATTGTGAAGATATATGAATGACAATTTTCTCAGAACCCAATATGAAAAGTAGACACGCTAAGTTGATCAGAAAAGATCTGTATGGAAGTAGACACGCTAACTCGTTTATATTTATTACTAGCATTGCCCGCGGCTCCGCCCGCGTTCAGATGACCAAAAACCAAATTCTTAGGTTTTACATATTACTATACTCTTACAATGCAGTTTTTGTATTTTTTCTCAGAAATGAGATATTTTCCCGCGGTAAAAAGTATCCTATGTGTTGACCCGGATAACCAGCTATCATCATACCAAATTTCATCAAAATCTGTCCACTGGTTTTCTCGTGATGCGGTAACAGACAGACAGTCAGACAGACAAAAATTCTAAAAACTGTAGATTCGGACTCTGTATCGATAATAATGTCTATTTCAATTAGATTTTACAAAAAATATTTAATGTACAGATTCGATTTAGTTACAATTTTATTATATGTATAGATATTGTATCATACGTGGTCTCATTACTACGATTGCAGTCATAGTGCACTGTATCGAATTAAAAACGTCTTATGCAACGACAGGTATGCGAGGTTGTGTTTCAAGATTAACCATAAGTATGTTTAGAATAAATTATATAGAAATTGTATCAAGGAAGACGAAAAAGAAAATAGTTAAGTCAGTTGTATCTATGTTTTTAAAATAAATCTTGCATTCATAGGTGAGTAATATCTAACAAGCTACAAAGTAAAGATAATATGGTATTATCGTAGAAAAAAATACCTGCCAATTGCCATTTAAATATGACTGACACTGACATCTAAGATCTTAAGTTAAAAACAATATTTTTTTTGTCAATACATCAACAATTAATTAGGAAAGACATTTAATCTATACATATAATATGAAAGACATCATTCTAAGAAAAAAAACCTGCCATTTATATATGATACTGACATCTAAGATCTTAAGTTAAAAACAATATTTTTTTTGTCAATAAATCAATTAATTAATTAGGAAAAACATTTAATCTATACATATAATAAAATTCTGAGTCGAATCTGTAGATTTTTTTTTAAATCGATACAAAGGCCGAATCTATAGTTTTTCGAATTTTTGTTTGTCTATCTGGGAACGCAACACGAGAAAACCACTAGATAGATTTTGATGAAATTTGGTATGGACGACAGCGATTATCCGGGTCAACATATAGAATATTTTTTACTGTGGAAAAATATCTCATCTCTGAGAAATCTATATTCGTTAAGACGTAACTCGTGACGAACCCGTGCGGAGCGCGGGAGAGTCGTTAGTATTATATAAATTCTTATACAAATCAACTTTTCTATGCAATAAGGCGTTAAATATTATATGGGAAGGTAAACACTTCAAAACAAATTGTTACAACGCTCGTAATTATACGGGATATTTATTTTAACTTGGTTTTTTAATAAACAATCAAGCTCCATAATTACCTGCCATGTACACTACAATTATCTTGTAAAAGGCAAACAATTCATCAAAATATTTATACATTGAAAGTGAGAAATCTTGCGTTAAGATGTGATTAAATACAATCGATATCTGACAGACATAAAATTTACACCAGATAGCGATCTGCCTTCCCATTTTGAGTGTAGACGATGACCTTAAGATTTATTTATGAATATTCTCAACTCAATCTTAGTACATTTTTTTAAATATCAATGATGGTAAAAAAGCTATTAATTTATAAAATATTATATATTTTTAAGGACATAAATGTCATATAACATCATATTTTTATTGAAATTACTTGACACTTGTATAAGTATAAATAGTTAATAATAATTTATGTCAAAAGTTTATGAGAAAGTGAGTTTATTGTGTACCTCCAAAGGTAGGATATTAACTTTGGAACTACAGATACGTTTTCGAAAATTCCTTCACATAAAGGGACTAGATTATATAGTGCTATAGCTTACCTACTCTTTTTCCAAGTCGATAGTCAGTCAGGTCTAAGCTCAGGACGATCAGTAAAATATTTATTCAATATACTTATACTTAGGTATGCATTTGAGTTTATAAAATAACATTAATTGTAGGTATAAAAGTGTTATTTTTAAACAATCTCCGTTTCCTTCTGAAGTTGATTACCCTTAATTCCTTCCGCTAAGATTTTATCGAGACCGTAAAGTGTAATGTTACGGTTTTAATGGGGGCGGGTCTGGGCCTAGGCTTTTGCGGTTTCCGTACGACATGGCTTTGCATGGTAGTTTAGGTGCAGGCCTACCCTACCATCTCCTTCAGAGATGGTAGGGGGGCGTTGGTCTTGGGAGTAGCGCAGGTCGCAAAGATCCCCAAGACAAGTTCGGTGGACTAGCCTTCTCGAGGTTGCCAGCCCTGTTATAGGTCTATTTCCATCCGAAATAGACATAACTGAAACCACCGGACGGTTCAATCCAGGGGAATATATAGTGTATGTAATATATGTAAAACTATTAATATGTAGTCTACTTTTACTGTTTTCCCCACAATCAATATTACCGTATTTTATTAAAACATCACGGCAAGTAGGTGGGCCGTGACTATTATAGTATTTTTAAAATAAAATATATGTATGTTTATCATAATTTATTATGCATATCTATGTGCCTGGGCATGCACCGAAATAAGATAGCCCGTTATTTATGTATGTCTATCAAGTATTATTTCAATTATATTGATACACCTACCTGCGCTAGAGCCTGCGCAGTTGAGCGCTGTACGCGCGGATGACGGAGTCCTGGGAGGTTGAGTCGAGCCAGACCAGCCGACAACACGCCCCTTTGGTCCCGAGTTCGTGCTAAACAGTACCCCCGAGCCTAACCAGCCCGGGGGAAACGGCTATACGTCCCGTCAGAGGGCCGTAGGTGAGGTACGGGGGGGAAGCGGAAGGTCATGCTGATGGAGTAAGGGTGTGTGGAACAACTGGTAGATCAGAATCCGGTCCTCCAGCCACACATAGCACGCGGCCTTCGGGCACGTGCGTCTGAGCTCCAGATGTCGCACTGTACGCCATCCCTTCTTACCTATATCTGCTTGGTAGTCCTAGTGCTCATAGAGCACTCCCAGTTGCGGGCTCCGAGGAGGGTGGGAAGCCAGGCAGATGAAAACAAAACAAAACAACTATGGATTTAACAGGATTCATTAAAACAAAAACAAAGGTGGCATCGGAGGGAAACCCCAAAGAAGCCCCTACAAAAACACTAAACACGAACGCGTCCGGTGAGCCGAGCACAGGTTTTCCTGTAGGAGGTTCCCACGCCACTCCCCAACAGGGCAGCAAAGGGAAGGCTGGCAAAGGAACTAAGGGGCAACCCAAAGTCCCTAAGCCCGCCCTACCGGGCCCTAATAAACCAATGAGGTCAGTGGAGGCCACACCAGGCCCCCTTTCCTCATCACTTCCGGGCCACCCCAAACCGGTTGCAGCAACTGCAAGCGTTAGAGGCGAGGAGGCAACCAGGCGACTGGAGGCCCCCCCAATTTCGACTGCAGCTGAAGCAACCGACAAGGGGAAGAGGGAGGTTGGAAATGCTCCATCGGCACCCCGAACCGGCTCAGCGAAGGCCAACGCTGAAGTAGACGTGGAGGCATCCAAGAAATTGGAACTGCCCCCGTCCGCCGAAGCAACGGCTATCGCGAAGGCTGGAAAGGAGGCGGCCACGGCTGCATCCACAACCACTCACTTGAGTACGGAAGAAACAGGAGGACCATGGACTGTGGTAACCTTCCGTAAAACAAACAGGCACCCCCCGCAAGGGGAACCTAACCAGAACACCGGCAACGAAGCAGGAACCACAACAGCGAAGAGGCTAAGAAAGAGACCGAACGCAGTCGCCAGGTGGAAGCGTAAGAGGCGAGCCGGAATAACCACGGTGGCGCCTACAGCCAACACCTCGGCAGATGCTGCCGACCC